CTCCGTGTGCATGTGTGTGGCTGTGTGTGCAGTGTGCTTCCGTGTGCATGTGTGTGCAGTATGCTTCCGTGTGCATGTGTGTGGCTGCATGTGCAATGTGCTTCCATGTGTATGAGTGTGGCTGTGTGTGCAGTGTGCTTAGGTGAGCATGCGTGTGACTGTGTGTGCAGTGTGCTTACGTGAGCATGTGTGTGGCTGCGTTTGCAGTGTGCTTACGTGAGCATGCATGTGGCTGCGTTTGCAGTGTGCTTACGTGAGCATGCGTGTGGCTGTGTGTGCAGTGTGCTTATGTGAGCATGCATGTGGCTGTGTGTGCACATCCCTTGCTTGCACTTGGTGCCATGCCCCTGGAAGCTGCCTGGCCCCTGGGGAAACAGCTGGCTGCTCTCCAGTGCTTTGGAGTTCTTGCACTTGTGGTGGTCAGACACAGCCACACACCTGATGTGTTTAGGTCCCATGTCTACCTCTGCACCAGGCAGGGCAGAGAGTCTGTAGAAGGCAGAGGAAGGTGGACCCAGTCTTTTCTTTGGGCAGGTAAGTTTTGGTGCTAAGACCAAGTAGTGGGGTTAGATGTCCTTACCCTCTGACTCCATGGGTTTTGCCTGAGTACTGTCCAGGTCAGTCCAGCAAAGGCTGTCTGGCCATCTAGTCTCACAGTTCCTCCTGCCTCTTACTTCTGGTACCTGGACTTCACTCTGCCCCTCCTCTCTTCCCATCTCCATAGATGCTGCTCTCAGTGTCCTGGGCTCTGAGTTCCCCCAGGGCTTCCTCTGTCTGTGGGGGGGCAGGTCACACAGCTGGCCTCCCTACCCCTCTGCTCTTCCACTGGGTACCTTCCTAACCCTGGTATCAATGTGCCCTCATAGCCCTCGCAGGTCCAGCGGCCTCTGCTATTTCCCTAGATAGTCCTGTCCTCCTGATTGCTGAAGCCAAGCCTGGAGTCACCTCGATCCCTCTCTCCACTCCACACTCCTCAGTCTCACTCCAGCAGGGCCCTTCTCCCACCTGCTGCTCCTGGTCCAGCTTGCTCCATGTTGTCAACAGCCCCTAAGGCAGCAATTCTCAACCTGTGGGTCACGGCCCACAAGAGCTGTATTAAAGGGTTCCGGCATTAGGAAGGTTGAGACCACTGCCCTAAGGGGTCTGTCTTCCCCCTGAACCCGACCTCAGTGGCCCTGGGGTCCTTTAGCCAAGACCCACGGCCACATGGTGCATTTCTACTTTTACTGTCCCTGTGATAAGGACAGTTCCCCGGGGCCCAGGGCCCCTCCACTGGGGCTGCTGCACCTGGACCAAGGTCCCCATGGATATGGGGTCAACCTCTGCTGTGTGAATGAACGTATGAGGATGAATGAATAATGTTGACTGAGCCTTCATGGCTCAAGTTTCTCCAACGTTACTTTGGTGAGGGTCCTGGAAAGGGGACCCTCGTGAGCTCTGTTAGATGGTGTTGCACTGTGGCCTTACCAGGATGTGATGTGCCCAAAGGCCCCCACACAATAAACACCCCCAAACTGAGCTGAGGGACCGGAGGGAGGGTGTGGAGCCCAGGGTGGCCGAGGCCCTGAGCTCCCCGGAGCTACCTCAGGGCCTCTCCCAGTCCTTGTGGAGAGGGAGTTGCCCTGAGGGGACTGCCTCCTGGGGGCACTGTGTACACCCACTAACGCCTGCCCCACTCGAAGTGGCTGGGCACTGGGAGGGCCCCTCGCTCACCAAACCTCGCCTTTGATCTCTCAGAACAGTCACCCATGGGCAGGTCCTTGAAGCCTGGGTCAGTTTGACCTAGAGTTGGGTGAGCAGCTGAGTGGGTGGGCTCCAGGATGGGGAGCAGTAGCTTTGGCTTCTGCCGGCTTCCAGGCCTCCTTTGTGATGCAGGCGTGGACTCCCTGGAGGCCGTGACTCCTGGGTTCTCAGGGAGTTCCGTGGGGGCTTGGTGGGGGGAGGGGCCGAGGCCAGGCCCCAGACCCCTGCAAAGGGATACCCCTTCCCAGGACCCTCCCCTCCCTCCCTTGCATCTCTTGGCCCCTCAGGTGGTGCCCACTCATCAAGATGGTACCTGCCTGGGCCCACTTGTTATCTTGGGCTGCACTGGCTGGCGTGTCTGTGAGCCCAGCTGTACTTTCCCCCTCTAGATGTAGGGCTGCCCCATTCCTGGGTTTTTCCTTTTCTGGGGGTGAGTGAGGGGTCTGGGGTCCTGGCTTAGTGCCTGCCAGCCAAGGGAAGGGAGTCTATGGAAGGAGGAGGCTGGAGACTCCCAGCCCTGTCCTGGTCCCAGGGCCCATAAAAACGTACTGTCCCCATCCCAGGAGCCCAGCCAACCCCCGTGGGGGGGCATCAGTCATTGCTCCTAGGTGAGGATGCAGGGGGATGCGGGCTCTTGGTGGTGGACGTGGGGCACGGAGTGTGGATGTCCAGTCTCAGCTGGACTGGGAGGCAGCTGTGTCAGCAGGAGGAGATTGGCCCTCCCCATTCCAGACCTGGGACTGGGGTGTGTCCAGAGAAGGGTGGCCTTCATCCACGCTGCTATGATAACTGTACTGGTACTTGGCTACTGGGCCTGCCCTTCCCTGCCCCATGCTCTCAGGCCAAGCTGTCTGGCAGCTTGTCCCCTCAGCCTCTGCAGGGCAGGAGCAGGACTCTCCTGAGACACACCCTACTGGGAGAAGACAAGCAGGCCGGAGGAAGTAAGTGCTGTTTCTGACGGGACCTCAGGAGTTAGGCCCTCTGTGTGCTGGGGAGGTGGGAGAAGGCCAGGCATTTGGACTGCCCAGGTCTCTGTCATTAAGCCACCAGCCCAGCCTAGGAGCTGTGCCTGCGTCCCTCACCTAGAAGAAGGGACTGTGGAGATTTGTCACAGAAGCAAGCAAGAGAACAGATCAGGCACAGAGGTGTGGTCAGGGTTTACCTGGGAGAGGACCAGAGCACTAGTAAAACTTGGTCACTTGAGCCAATGGGGTGCGGGTGAGGGGGAAGGGGGGCAGGTGACTGCTGTCACTGATACTATCAGTCTGTTTTGAGAGGCTGGGTCTTCTGTTTTGGACTTTGCAGTTGCTACTTCCTTGATTCCCTCACTTACATAATTGACTTTGTAACTAATTGACAATTCTGCCTATTAAATTTGTGCTATTGAAATCACTAATGTGGTTTCTGTCTCCCAGTGGACTGATAGATTGTGCTAGGAGCTGTCTCAGAGACACACTCCAAGGTGGGGTTTGGGATCAGTTTGGTCGTGTCCAGAGCTGAGGTCCTGGCCCGTGGGCAAGGGAGGCAGGTGTCCACAGTGTGTGGGGGTGTCATGACTAACGAGGCTGCAAGGCACCAATTTAGCCCAGGGCCGTGCTGCTGGTGTAGCTGGAAGGATGACTGTGAGGCCAGTGGCGTCCCCTGAGTGTCTAGCAGCACCAGCAGGAAGAGACAAGACAGTCAGGTCTTTAACCCTCATGCGCAAACTGCAGCTGGAGGATCAGGGCTGCCATGGAGTCCTGATGGAGCCCCGGCCTTCTGGAGCCTTGGGGCTAACATTAGATTTGATTCTCAAGGCACTGAGTGCCATGTAGGCTGTACTCACAGGCCTGCTGAGCTTCTTGTGAGAAAGGCATCAGGTGGCAATGAGCTAGGTGCTAATACCCTGAGTGGGGCTGCCTGGGTGGGATAGGACGAGGCTGAATGTTGTAAATTCCAAGTCCTCTGAGCCTTCCAGTGGACACAGTTTGTCCTCTGGTCTCAGGTTTTCCACTTGAAAAGCCTGTGGCAGCCTCCCTGGGCCAGGAGCCTAGAAGGGATGCTCATTCTGTTCAACCACCATGACCAACCACCCCCTGTGGACCCTGGAATTTCAGTGGGCTCCTGGGAAGGGAGCATCAGATACCAAGTCTGACCCAGGAGGAAAGGACGCATACACCAAACGCTTGCAAGAATTCATTGAAGGGGTTTCCCCGAGCCTGGGGTGTCAGACCCCCTGGGCAGGGCTGGACAGGGTATGTGTGCTGGAGATGGAATTTAGGCTGTCAGCTCGCATCACCTTCCAGAAACGACTCTTCACAGTTTACTCCCTGGAATGAAATTTGGACCTGATGTGGTGGCAGCTAAAAGTTGAGCCATCAACTTCTCTCCTCAGTGAAAGTAGAGGCTGGGACCCAGCCAGGGGAGGGTTGCCCTTGGTGCACACACAAGCAGCTCAGCCTACAGCTGAGCAGTGCGGAGGGCAGGCAGGGGCCACAGGTGGATCTGCAAGGAACAGGAGCTGCAACACCAAGACCAGAGCAGCCCTGGAAAGTCCCTTCAGGCGGCTCTCTCAGGCTCAGGTGTGAACACATCCAGGGCTTCTTGGAATCCTCTGCTGATCAGGCAGAAAGGCTGCTGGTCCTGGGTGAGTGCTCAGTCCTGGGGGAACTCCCATGGACAAAGCCTGGGCTGGTTTCTATTGGGGAGTGGGCTCAGGAAAACTAAGCCCCCACCCCTGATGCCCTCAGGGCCTAGTAGTCTGCTGTCAGGGTGCAGGTGGTGCAGGGGAGCAGATGTGTCTATCTGTCCAGGCTGCTACAACAAAGCCGCATAGTCCAGGTGGTGTATAAAGCACAGACCTGTTGCTCACAGTTCTGGAGACTGGACTGCTAAGACGAAAGCCAGCAGATGGCACCATCTCACTGTGTCCCCACCTGGTGGAAAGGGCCAGGGCTCTCTGGAATCTTTGATAAAGGGGCCAGTCTCAGTCATGAGGGCTCCACCTGCATGACCTGGTCACCTCCTAACACCATCACCTTGGGGGCTAGAACTTCAACAAATTAATTTGGGAGACACATGTTGAGACAATAGCAAGGTGCCAGACCAAGCATGAGCTGGTTGGGATACTTACCAGGTGAGCTGTGGGGCAGCAAGTGCAGGCCCTTGGAGGTGTGTGTGTGGGGGGGAAGCACCAACAGGTGGGAGGGTCTGGGGGGTCCTGCGGGAGCTTGGGCAGGGCTGGCCTTCTGCACAATCAGTGTGACAAGCTCCACTGTGACCTTTCACGGACAGATAGGGAAGGACACCCCAGGTAGGGGGATAGCAGATGCAAAGGTGGGGGCGGGGAGGGTGCCCTGAGCGGTGCCACCTCACTGTAACCCAGGCAGGGCCCTCCAGGCCAGCACTCACCCCACTGCCTGGGTGCTGACCTGCCAGCCTGAGTCAAGTGCCTTCCTCTGACTCTGAACTGGACCTACCCCTGGCTCCTGGGCTGTGGAGAAGTGTTGAGGGCCTAGAGGGCACAGAAGGATGCAGGGGTGGCAGGTGGACAATGAAGGCACAGCCTGGTGAGGACTGTGTGTTGAGGCCTTGCAATGGCAGGAACTTCTCAGAGTCTGAGTGGGGACACCGAGGGGGAGAAAGAGGGCTGAAGCATTGGCTCCCAGGACCCCTCACAGCGGGAGGCCTCAAGCCCAGCAGGTGGAGGGCTCCCATGTGGGGATGAGAGAGTGGGTAGGTCTTCACCTGCTGCCTGGGACAGGCAGGGAAGGAGCCTCTGGGCCACTGCCTAAGGCCACAGAAGGGGAGAAGTTAAGCAAGCAGGAGAGAGAAAACAGGACAGGAGGCTGAGACTTTTGCCTCTACATGAGCTCAAGTCACTCTGTTGTGAGGGAGAATCCTTTAGGTGAGGACAGGGAGGGACTCCTCTGCCCCAGCCAGGAGAGGGACCCCAAGTACAAGGGTGTAGGATTACTCTATGTAGAACAAACTGTCCTCAGGTTCCCCAGAAGCACAATTTACTCAGCTCGTGAGCCCCCTCCTGTCCTGGAGGACCCTCTCAGGGCAGTGGGTGACAGGTTCAGGTACAGGCTCTCTGGAAAGGACCTTCTTGAAAACACTTGGGAGGCTCAGTACCACGGTTTCCATGAACTGGGTCCCCACTTGAGAGTATCGTCTTTGTGGAGGCCCAAGTTCTAGCAGGGCCTCTTCCCACCCTGCATCCAGGCCAGGTTCCCAGTCACAGGCAGTTTCATGCCCAAGGAGAGGCATTCTGGTCCTGGGCTGGCACCATCTCCCCAGGGCCATGAAGAGCCAGCCTTATCTCATCCAACCTGCAGCATCTCAAACCAAGGACAAGACCTAGGGCTACTTCTTCAAAGTCTGAACCCCAGGTGGGACCAAGAGAACCCACGGGGAGAGGGTTGGGCTGCCAGTCAGTGGAGCCAGCAGCCCCAGGATGTCTCCCTCCGGATTCTGGCCTTCAGCCTCTTTAGGCCACCATGGCTGGGGTCCACCAGGAGGCCACTCTCAGCTGCTGTCCAGGCCTCTGCAAAGCGTCGCTCTTCCAGGTAGCACTGCCCGCGACACAGGAACAGGTGTGCAATGGTGGCCTGGCCTGGTTGCTCCCACAGACTGCTCTGGGCCAAGGTGGGCGCCAGCTTCAGGGCTTCGGTGAAGGCCCCTGCAGCCCCTGCCTCGTCCCCCAGGCTCAGCAGTAAGCGACCACGGGAGCAGAAATCCTCTGCCCGCCTTGGGAGGTCACTGTCCCCCAAACCCTCCTGGAGCACGCAGTCCAGGTCCCTGAGTGCCCGGTCAAACTGCTGCAGCTCAGCTAGGCAGGAAGCCCTCAGACGCAGGTGACAAGCGTGGCTGCCACCGGCCAGGACAGCCAAGGAGCAGTAGCCCAGTGCCTGCTTGGGTTGCCCTGCATCCAGGAGAGAGCTGGCTTCCTGAGTTGCAGCCTGCACAGAGAATACAGAGGCAAGGGCTGTGAGGTCAGCCCAGGGAGCCACTCCTTCAAATGCTGAGCTCCTCTGCACAGCCAGCCTCTATGGCTCCCTGGGGAGGCCAGGGCCCCTGAGCTGCAGAGGACCCAGTCCTGCAATTCCCACCACCCTGCAAAGCCCAGCTCAGACCCTTAGAGGACCAGCGTCCAGCTCAGGGCCCGGCATCCTCCTCAACTGATACTCTCCTTGGGCCTCTGATGGGACACCAGGATTTAACTCATCATGGTTCTCCCCTTCTCATAGCCTGACTTCTTCACCTGCTGGACCCACTTTCCTTGCTCAGGTGACTGCAGTTGCCTCCTCCCCCCACTCCTCAGCAAAGCTGCCTTGCTGACAGGCCTCATGATAGTGCTGCCTGCCATCCAAAGGCTGCCCTAGCCCTCAGGTCAGTAGGAAACACACCTCTGCTCATCCTAGTCCCTGAGTGCCCCTCCTTGCCCCAAGATCAGTAAGGGAGGGGGCCAAGGATGAAAGATGTTCTTATTTTGCTAACCCATGAGCAGTGATCCCTCCCTTCTCCTGCTCCCATTGCACCATCCCCAGGTGTCAGGGTCCACTGTATCTTCCTCCCTGGGACTGGCAGAGTGAGCACTTCTCAGACAAGTGTGCTGCACTGGTTTCCCAGCCTCAGTAGGTACTATGGGGCAGGGCCAGATGAGAGTGGTCAGTGAGTAGCATCAGTAGTCACCCTTCTCTTCTGGGGACTGCTGGACTGAGGGCCCAGCCCCAAGGGCTGTTGCTAGCCAAGCCTGCCCACCTCCACTTGCCCCCTGGGTGCTTGCTTTTCTGAGCCGCAGCTAAAGTCCACACTTGGAACTGTCAAGTAGCCCACTCTGACCCTGTTTCTTCAGAGTGATGTATGATCAGAAAAAGCCCACACTCCAGGGATTAACCCGCTTGCCTCACATGGTTCCTTCTCTGCTCAAGATCCTGACATGGCTCCCCACTGCCTGAGGCACAACACGGGAGACCCTGCCGTTCTCCCTCTAAGTCCAGGAGGATGGGCTGTATTTCACGCTGCCCACCCCTGGAAAGCACAGAGCGTCCCAGATCCTGCAGCGCGCTGCCGCACAGGCGGGTCTCATGGTCTCCCCACCAGCCCGGCAACCGCACCTCCAAAGGCTGGAAGCCCAGCGCCCTGTCTTTCTGTGCGACGCGGGCGGGGCGACTCAACTGCTCGGCCCCGGGCTGCCTGCGCGGGGTGGTCGTGGAGTCTCGTGGCGCCAGCAGTAGCCTCGGTAGCCGGCCGGGTCCGCGGCTGCAGGAGGGTGCGGCCCCGGGTCAGCTGCTAGCGGGTCGAGAGGCAGCCACCACGAGGGGTCAAGGTGGTCGCTCACAGCACAGGTCGCAGTTGACACCCGCCCTTGGGAAGCAGCCGCCCGCCGCGCAGGCGCAGTGCCAGCCGCAGGGCCGTCCGAGAGACGTGGGGCACCGCCCCTTCCGCTTTACTTCCGGGTGGGCTCACGTCGCCCGGCAACCGCCTCCCTCGCGCGGATTCTCACGGCCGGGAAAACCAGGCTCTGGACTGCTCGCCCAGTCCCCGCCAGAGAGCGCTGAGTCCCTCGCCCAGCTACCTGCCTGTGAGCTCGGAGACCCCCGCCCAGCCCTCACCTCCGGCCCCCGGACCTCAAGAACCTCCTCTGAGCTTGAACCCCCTGCCGAGCCCCGCTCAGCAATGGGGTCTGATAATACGGGGGCAGCGCCCTCTGCGTTGGGCCGGCTCGGTGCACGCTGGCCATGTCACCCCTCTCCCATTGGAATACCTAGAGTGCCTTCTGGTGTCCTAACGACCCAGTGGAGCCCACTGGAGCCATGGAGTCCCTGAAACACGAAGGGGAAATCTGCCCTTGGTCCCATTGGGGTTTGGTGCCGTGTCCCTGGAACTCCAAAGCCCGCTCTGCGCTCCTGGTGTCCCCACCCGCGTTGCTCCTGGACTGCCATGGTTGGTGGGGTGGGCTTCCTGCGAGGGCAGGTGTCCCAGCTGCCTCAGCTGAGTCTGAGGGGGCTTCTTCCCTCTCCTGCATCTAAGTCACCGTGGCTCATATGCCCCACACAAAGAAGCCAGAGGTCAGAGCTATGTTGGTCAGGGACCGACCTTCCAGGGCCCAGACCTGGGTGCCTCCTTGCAGCCCACACTCCAAGTTGCCTTTAGCCCAAAGGGTGGGGGTGAAGAGCTGCCTGGGTCTGTGCGCCCAGGGGTCTCGTGCCCCAGGGTGCTGGGGCAGAGGCTTCATAGGGTTTCTCCTTCACACACCTGGGTGAGGCTTTGCCGCTCAGAGGCCTCCAGGAGACGCAGCAGGAAGCTGAGGTCCCAGGTGTCAGTCTCGGCCAGGCACTGCAGGCCCTGAGTAGCAGCAGGCACGTCTCCCTTCTTAAGCCGGAGCAGGCCCAGCCGGGCCTGGGCAGCTTCTGACAGTGAGGTGGGGTGCAGGGCTTTATGCAGATGGGTTTCAGCCTCCTCGTAGCTGCCTATTAGGGATTTGGGAAGGACAGTCAAGAGGGTGCCACAGGGGTGCAAGAGACGCCATTCCTTCCCTGCTCTGCACTGGTTTGGGGGATGCTGGTGGAGGGCTGGGCTCCAGGTAGAAGCACCTGGAAGAAGAGGCACAGGTGATTCCTGCAGGTCATGTGGACTCCCCCGCTGAGCTGGTGCCCTGTCCCCCACTCCACTACCCCAGGCCCAGCAGCAGGCGTGAGCTCCTCACCATGGTATCCACAAGGGACTGCTGTGGTAGAGCAGCCCGGGAAACAGCCTCAGGCCAGGCCCCTGAACAGCCCAGGGTGATGTGGAAATCTGCAGGGGACACTTATGCTTTGGCACTCGAGGGCTTGAGATTGTCCTACCTAGAATGGGCTGTATTACCTGGGTGTTCCCAAAACAACTACTGAGTAAACAAGGAGGCCTGGGCATTTGAGTTGCTTTACCAAACCCCCAATCTCTGTTTGGTTTCTCCTCTAAACAAATCACACAGCAAGAACCACTTACATGCCAGGCCCCATGCGGAGTGCAGGGCCATAGGTCATGGATTTGGGATGGAGGGGACCTTAAAGCCTCTGTAGTCTGGGTATCTTTTTCCCATGTTACAGGAAAGAATACACAGAGCCAGAGAAGTGGGGACAGGCACTCAATGCCTGGGTTCCTGCTCCTGGGCCGGCACGTACCCTGTGCAGTGAGGATGTCCGTGAGGAGCATGTGCCAGCTTGGCTGCCCAGCATCGATCTTGATCAATGCCTCCCCCATGGCAAGGAGGCCCTGGGTGTCCTTGTCTCCAAGGGGGACCCTGGCGTCCAGCAACTGGCTCAAGAGGGCTCGGCAGTGGGTGTAGAGGCCCTGTGTGATGAGAGCCTGGGCTTCTGGCTTCAGAGAGCAGATCTCAGGGACCACAGTCACTGGGCTTAACTTCAGAGCAGAGGCTACATCATCCACGGCGTCCTGTTGTGGGGGGGGGGCAGAGTGGGTTCAGAAGTCCCAGCCAGAGAGACACTGGGCAGACGGACAGCACCAGGCGTCTTTCTCCTTCCCTGTCCTCAGGTATCTGATCTTCTCCCTGGGGTCTTAGAGGGTCTGCCCTGCCCAGCTCCCTGCCCCTCTCCACATCCCGTTTCTGGTTGGGCATCTGAGGGGACCCAGCTCACTGGCCTCTATCCCTGAAAATAAGCAGGCCTAGACTCCATTTCTGAGGCCAGACTCCGTGTCTGCTTGTCCTGTCAGTGTGTGGCCTGCAGTCTGGAACCCCTCCCTGGGAAGCTCACTTCCTCTGCAGGCAGCAGGCCCCATCCTGTGCCTGTCCCTGGGGAAATCTGTCCACTCACAGTGGGTGAGTTAGGAGCTCGGCAGGTGTCTGGGTGCCTTCCCGGTGTCGCATTCATATTCTTTTCTACTGTATTAAGTTTTTTTTCTTTTGCCTTTTTTTTTTCTTTTTGAGACAGTTTCTCACTCTGTTACCTAGGCTAGAGTGCAGTGACCTCACCACAGCTTACTGCAATGGCAATCTCCTAGGCTCAAGTGATCCTCCTGCCTCAGCCTCCTGAGTAGCTGGGACCACAGGTGCTTGCCACTACATCCAGCATTTCTATATATATATATATATATATTTTTTTTTTTTGATACAGTTTCACTATGTCACCCTTGGTAGAGTGCCGTGGTGTCATAGCTCACAGCAACCTCAAACTTTTGGGCTTAAGCGATTCTCTTGCCTCAGCCTCCCACATAGCTGAGACCACAGGCATCCGCCACAATCATCCGCCTGGCTATTTTTTTGGTTGCAGTTGTCGTGGTTTAGCAGGCCTGGGCCAGGCTTGAGCCCACCAGCTTCAGTGTATATGGCTGATGCCCTACTCACTGAGCTACCGAGCCAATGTTAATGTGTTGTGTTACATTGATTTCTGTACATTGAATCGTATTTGCATTCTAAGAATGGACCCACTTGGTCATGATGTATAATCCTTTCATTATACTGCTGATTTTTTTTGGGGGGGGGGCTGGTATTTTGTGGAGGATTTTGGCATCTATATTTTAGGAGAATAATGGTCTGCAGTTTTCTTGCAGGGTCTTTGTCTTTGGTATCAGGGTAATGCTGGGCTCACAGAATGAGTAAGGAGGTATTTTTCCTCTTCAATTTTTTTTTGAAAAATCTGAGAAGGATTGGTGTTAGTTCTTCAAAAGTTTGGTAGGATTTACCAATGAAGTCATCAGATCCTGGGCTTTTCTCTGTCAGGAAGTTTTTGGTTATTAACTCAATCTCCTTCCTAAGTTACAGGTCTGTTGAGATTTTCTATTTCTTCATGATTCAGTCTTGGTAAGTTTTCCGTTTCTAGGAATTTGTCTATTTCATCGCGGTTATCTGATTTTTTTTTTGGCATACGTACAACTTTTGTTCCGTGGTCTCGGTAACAACGGCCTTCCTTCCACTTCTGTTGTGGTGATCTGAGCCTTCTCTCTTTTCTCGGTCCATCTCGTAAAAGGTTTGTCAATTCTGACCTTTTCGAAGGACCAGCGTTGGTCCTTGATTTCTCATTGTCTTGCTATTCTCTATCTTGTTTGCCTCTGCTCCATTTCTCATTTCTTTCTTTCCACCAGCTTTGGCTTTGTTCTTCTCTAGCTTCTTAATGGCAAAGTGTTGTTGGCCTGAGACCTTTTAGTTCTTGCACAAGTGTTGATAGCTGTGCATTTCCCCTTCCGTGTCGTCTCAGTCCTGGGGTGCTGCGCCTCCGTTTTCACTCATCCCCGCGCATTTTCCAGTTTCCCTGGTGACCCCTTTTTTGATCCATTGGTTGGTTAGCGCTCTCCTTTTTTCGTGGAGGGGGACACTGAGGCACAGGGACGTGAAGTGATTTGTCCAAGGTTGCCTAGCCTGACCTGCACCTCACTCTCCTGGGGTCTAGTGCTCGGGGAGCAGACCTGGGGTGAGGACACTGATCCAACACGAACCCCCCCAGGGTCAGACTGTGGGAAACAGCACAGCTGCAGACAAGGAATGTCCATAAATAAACAAAAATAATAGGAACCATCTCCTAACAGGCAGGCCTCCCACAACTACATGGGATCCCTCTTCTTGCCAGCCCCCCTTTTCTTTTAAATTGCAACAGTTTCTGCAGAAGAAAGTCTTACATGTATAGATAGCTAACTTAAAAAACAGGGAGGTTAAGTTCAGATCAGAAGTCCAGGGGCTCCATCCCAGCACCCTGCCAGACACCCTAACTGCCACTGGCACTATTCCTTCTGCACCTGTCCTCAAACCCTTTTCAGGAGGGACCCAGGCATCCAGCCCACCAGTGTAGCCACAGACACCTGCAGAGGCCCACTGGCACCCACTGAGGAGTTATTTTAAGCTGGGGTGCCCAGTACTTCTGAGGTTTCATGTGTCTATCCATGTGGACTGATGCTGGAGGCAGGGACTCCTCAGAACCGTGTGTGAGGGTGGGGCTCCCATGACTAGCAATCTAAGAGGAACGAGAATACTGGGGCTTGGTGGCATCTCTTGGCTCAGGATGGCCCACTCCTCTTCTGGGGTGGTGTCCTACCCAACTAGTGCAGGTGGGGAAGGGGCTGGCACCTGTGGCTGGTCAAGGGCCAGGTGCACAAGTGCCCGTCCACACAGGGCCTGCACATTGTCTGGCTCAGCCCGCAGCACGGAGTTGAAGTCAAACATGGCAGTCTTCTTCTGGCCCAGGAACCCGTAACAGCGGGCTCGGGTGAGCAAGGACTCGCTTGCCTGGCTCCCTGGAGGAAGGGGGTGCAGTGTCAAGACATGACTGCCCTTTTCCAGCGTCCCTCCCCTGCCTGACCCACCTTGGGGAGTCCACGCACCACTGGGCACTGAGATGCAGGGACAGTCAAGGTTGCCTGGGGGCTTGGGCACGGGGTGAGAGGATCCCAACCAGGAGGGGTGGCATCTGGGAGGACTGAGGGCAGAGGGGAGCTGCTGAGGGGAGGGGGCACTGTAGCTGCCTCTGAAGCCAGGGGAGGGTCCTTGGAGCAGGGCCTGTGATGGAAGCAGCAGGAAGATGTGAAGCAGCCCGGGAAGAGCCCCCTGAGTTCTGCCCTTGGAGGCCCCTTCCCAAAGAGGATCCATTACCCATCCGTCCTGGCATCTGCCTGGTGGTGGACATGGGGAACAATGTGCTGCTCTGTGGGCCATCTGAGCCATGTCCCTTCCTGCCCAACCAGCCTGGCTCACAGTCTGTGCCAGTGTGAACATGCTTCATCCTACCCACACAGGCTACTCTGTCCCCCCACTTTGAGGGGAGCAGAGTGAGGGGTCCCCAGTCAGGAATCTACGAGCAGTGTAAGCTGATGTCTATACACTCAGCCCCTGCAGGCCAGGAACTTACTCCCTCTGAGTCCTCAGGGATGTCCCCCCCAGTCCCTGTGGCCCAGGAACTAAGACCCTCTGAGTCCTTGGGAAAGTCCCTCTGCCTCCTGAGCTCCTGCCACCTCACAGCCCAGTGCTAAGAACGTCCCACTCCAGGTTGCACGGGGCAGGTGCCTCACCTGGATGGCCCAGGGTTAGGGCTTGGCAGGATGGCTTGACCAAGTGGGAAGGTCAGGGGCACACACGAGACCTCAGTCACTATTTTCAGGAGGGACAGGGGATCAGGGACCTTGCCTCCCCTCATTAGAGTGAGAGGGGCCAAGTGGGGCAAGGGGCCCTTTCACTCTTAGGGCCAGAGGTAGAGGGACAGTAGCCCAGGAACCAGGGCAGGGGCGCACAGCCCAGGGCCCAGGTGTCCAGAATCCTCTTCCAGACTGCGGAGTGCCCAACTGTGCGGCAAGTGCCTGCATGAATGTCCCCTGCCCCACTGACCATGGGTGCTCCTGAGGCATGTGTGTCATGAAGGAAGTGTGTCCTGGGCCATTGGCACCACAGAGGTTCCCTGTCCTCCCTATGCCTGGCACATGACTGGGACCCTGGAGGTGGGTGGGAGACTCCTACCTGCAGCAAAGATGGCCAGAGAGAGGTAGGCAATGGCCTCTCTGGTGTGGGCCTTGCAGTCGGCTATACCTGGCCGTGTCCTCAGGATGGCCAGGGCCCGAGAGTGGCAGTGGCCTTGCAGCAGCTGCCGGTCCTCCTGGTGGAAGATGTCCAGGGTGGGCTGGAGGCAGGCTGTGTCCCCAGACTGGACCACCTTCTTTACCAGCTGCAGGGGAAGGAGCAGAGTCACTGTCACCATCCTCCCCTTGTGGTGCTCCCTCAGCCCTCACCCTGTGCCAACACCCCCCCCCCATCCTTGCTGCTCCCACCAGACCTTTGCTCTTTTGAGGAGCCCTGGTAGCTCTCTGGAACTACAGGCATGCACCACCACACCCTGCTAATTTTTCTGCTTTTTGTAGAGATAGGGTCTCACTATGTTGCCCAGGTTGGTCTTGAACTCTTGATCTCAAGCGATCCTCCTGTCTTGGCCTCCCAAAGTGCTGGGATTACAGGTGTGAGACATTGTTCCTCACCCAGATTTTTTCCTTAATAACCACAGCAACAGCAAATACCAAACACCTACTGTATGCAGGAAACCTGCTGGGCCCTGGTGTACCTGCTCTAGCTAGTTTCCATGGCAACCTTAAGACCAGGGCACGGATGAGGAGACTGAGGAGCAGAGAGGTGAGGACCTGCTGCAGGTGGCAGAACTGGGGCTAAACAAGCTTTGCCTGCTCCAAAGTTCAGGCTCTGGTCAGCAGAGCGAGGGCCACTGGCGGCCTATGCCCACAAAGCCATGCCCAGTTCCCTCCTGCCCTCTGTCTCCCACCTGGGTCTCCTCACCTGGTTGGCATCGTAGAAGAAGCCTCTTCTTAGCTGCAGCAGGGCCAGCCGTGCCAGCACAGGAGCTGCCTGAGGCCTCCGGGAGAGGGCCACCAACAGGGACTTGTGGGCATCATGCAGGCGGCCCAGGAGATATAGGGCATCTGCTGCCAGGAGGCGCGAGGCCTCATCCTCAGCGTCTAACTCCATCAGCAGCATGGCCAGCTGGTACACACCATGGGCGTCTCTGTGGGGACAGTGTCTTGGCATGGGCAGCCCCCTTCCTGACACCCCTTTCACCTGCCCAGGTGATTGGGCCACAGAAAACCCTGTCCCGTGCACCTGGCCTGGCCAGCTCCCTTCCCATGGGGCTACAGAGGGATCCCTCTGGAACAGTGCTTCTCAACCTTCCTAACCCTTTAAACCTTGTGACCCTTTAATACAGTTCCTCATGTTGTGGTGACCCCAAACCATAAAATTATTTTCGTTGCTACTTCATTTTTTTTTTTTTGAGACAGAGCCTCAAGCTGTCCCCCTGGGTAGAGTGCCATGGCACCACAGCTCACAGCAACCTCCAACTCCTGGGCTCAAGCGAGTCTCCTGCCTCCGCCTCCCAAGTAGCTGGGACCACAGGCGCCCGCCACAACGCCAGGCTATTTTTTGGTTGCAGCCGTCATTGTTGTTTGGCGGGTCCGAGCTGGGGATTCGAACCCGCCACCCTAGGTGTACGTGGCTGGCGCCTTAGCCGGCCGAGCTATAGGCGCCGAGCCTCGTTGCTACTTCATAACTGTAATTTTGCTACTGTTATGATCTTAATGTAAATATCTGATATGTAGGATGTGTTTTCATTGTTACAAAGGGGGTCACGACCCACAGGTTGAGAACCGCTACTCTGGAAGGACCCTCACACCACATGATCCTCTGAACCCATGGCTGCCCAACATCCATCCCACGGCCTCTCCACTGCCCAGCGAGGTAGGCATTTCACAGAAGGAAGAGTTGAGGTCAGTAGATGGGGAGTGGCAGGGCTGACCCCAGCAGACCTTGCCTCAGTTTCTCCTTCTGTAAAAATGCAGATTAACAGTCTGGCTTTGCTGGGCTCAGGGGTGTGTTGTTTGTAGTTGGAATAAGATAACACACCAGTGGCACCTGGAATGTCCTGTGTCACGTGGGGGTGCTGGGAATTAATGGGTGCTCATGGAGGAAAAGGGGCCAGAGCCTCAAACATGACAATTCCCAGAAGGAACAAGTAGAAATGGCCCCAAATCTCACAAATGAAGGTTCCTCTTCACCAGGAAAGCAAAGCAACTGGATTTAAGCACCTGTGTGGCAGAGGAAGCCTGTGCTGTCCTGGTGGGGGTGGAGCCTGACACCAAAGATCCCTGCCCCCCACCCCACCATTGCTTCTTTTAACTTTGCTGAAATGCCTTCCTTTCACCTCCCAGGAACAGGGGTGGGGGTGCAGTGGGGGTGGGGCAAATTGCAAATGGAAAGAGTGGGAGGGTCACCATTGAATTTGCAAAACAAGCCAGAGGCCGGAGGGCAGCCAGTTGGTTGGTGCAGCGGCTCCAGATTGAGTGAGGGCTCCTGGGGATGTGCCCTCTGCTCTGGGACCTCCACAGGTCTAAGGGGAGGTGGCCACCACCTGCCAGAGGGTGTGCAGGAGCTGTCCAGAGCCATGACAACAACTCCCTGGCGGGAAAGGCAGGTGCAAACTGCCTGTACTGCACGAACCTCGTTCTGGAGGTGTTTTCTAGGTACAGAAAGAAGCTATCAGAAGGAAATATGAGTGGGTTGTTGGGATAATGGGTTCCATTTTTGAATTTCTCATTCTCTGCGGAAAGGACGCCTGCAGCACATCCTGCTGTTTGGGCAGAGGGTGCCGTCTGCCCGGGTGCTCAGAGAAACCGCCCAGCCACACTACCTCAGTTTATTCATCTGGGAAGGCAGGAAGAGACCAGGGTGAAGCCGCAGCCCCAGGCACCCTTGGGCTGGTTTTTACCCTTCCTGCGCTGCCCCGGGGCGACGGCCCGGGGCGCCCGCGGTCCCCGGCTCCGGTCTGCGCTGCAGCATTTTGCGGGCCTCCTCCCGAAGCACGGTGTGCAGCAGCCCGCGCTGGTTCCAGGGCACATAGGCCTTGGCGGCCAGGAGCGCCTCCTCGGGTCGCAGCCTGCACGCAGTGACATAGTCCAGCGTGCCCAGGAAGGCGCTGCCGGCCAGCACCCGCAACAGCCCGCGCCCACACAGCGCGCGCACGCAGCCGTCCGGGTGCGGCGCCTCCTGCTCCACCACCGCCTGGAAGTCCTCCTGGGCGCACCGCACGTCGCCGGCGTGCAGCGCGCAGAAACCGCGAAGCGCCAGCAGGGGCGCGCGGTCTGCGGCGCAGTCACCCGCACGGTCTCCTGGGCGCGCGGGCCGCAGCAGGCGCTCGCACAGTGCTCGGGCTCCCGCCGCGTCCCCGGCCAGCAGCAGGCACTCAGCCAGGCGGACGCTCAGCGCGGGTCGCACCCCGGCAGGTGCCAGGCGGAGCAGGACGCGGAGCGCGCAGGTCACCGGGGACAGCAGTTCACGGCCCGCGTCCTCGCGGAGCTCAGGACGGTTCCGCACAGCCTCCTGGAAGAGGGCGAAGCCCAGGTCTGCGGCCTCCTGCGCCTGGGTCCGCACGCGCTCCTGGTCCTGGGAGGACAGCATCGCCTGGAACCGCCTCCGCGCCCCGGAGGGGCTCTCGCGGAAGGCCTCGTTCAGATCCCGAAGCATGTCCTGGGACCGGCCGTCCAGGAAGAAGGCTGCGGCTGCTCGGGTGACCAGCAGGGCAGCCAGGCGCTCACCTGCGGAGAGAAGCAGAGACATTGGTCCTGCCTGATTGGCCAGTGACCGGCAGGTGCCACCTGTAGGCCCCCACCCCGTCCAGGGTTTGGCCACTCTGAAATACTTCCTCTGGGCATCTCTCTGCAGTCCCCTGGGAGGAGAGCCGGCAGAAGACCCCAAGCCCATTAGCGACCCAGCAGGGTTAGAACCAGGCCAGCTGACACTCTGCTCCAGGTCCCTGCAGTCACTTTCACCCCTCCGTCCAAACGGAAATTGGGTGCAACATCTCTTCCCCCCCAGCCCCTCCACCCCCAATCCATCATTAATGGATTTCGTTAATGATGGATTTCAGGATTGAGTTTCCTCTTCTGAGAATCAGCACACCTGCCGCCTAGGTCAGAGCTGAGGTTGTGACCTCATGACCTTTGCAGGGGAATGTGCTCCTGGGGCCTCTGTTTCTGCCCTCCTTTGGGCCATGTTGGGACTGGAGAGCTCCCACTGAGCCCAGGGGCCAGGGACAAGGCTCTCTGCTCCCTACTGAGTGGGCTATGTTGGGTCTGGAGAGCTCCTGCTGAGCCCTAGGGCAAGGGAAGAGGCTCTTGGCTTCCTACTGAGTGGGTGCCCCTTCCTGCCGAGCCTCACCGGGTCTGTCTCCTTCACTGCCTTACAATGAGGCTGTGAGGTTGGCTGGGCAGACTTGTGAGGGCTGTGCCGCAGCTGCCACCCTCCCATTGTCCCCCGTCCTGTCTGAGCAACTGAGCGGCACTTCTATGGATGATGGTTTCTGATTGATAAGGGAAGCTGAGCTGCGTCAGGCTGAAGAGGCCCCAGGAATGGTGTAAACTGGTGAGAGAGTCCCAGTGTGTGTCATGCTGGATGGAGTTCAAGGTCACGGGTGCTCACCCTTACTTTACAGGTGAAGAAAGTTGCTGCTGGGGAGGGAGGTTCTCGGAGCCCAGACCTCTGAACTTCTGCCTCAGTGCTTTGTGTGCTGAGCCCTTCAGAATTTCCAAAGAGCTGTTCCTTATAACCCAGTGTAAGAGCAACAACTACAGTGACCCCTTACCTTCCAACAGGGCTCTGCAGAGGGCAAACACTGCATGTGCCTGTGGAAGTGAAGTGGCAGCCCATCCGGCCCTGTTACCCTGGGGGACAAGCCAAGCCTCACAGCCCAGAGCCCTGTACAAAAAGCACCTTGCACCCCAAGAGCACCATCCAACCGACCAGCCAAGCACGGGGTCACCCTGCCTAGTCCTGGGGTCAAAGCAAAACTTTAAGCCTTTCCTGTCAGACACAGTCTCTTAAAAACAAATCTAATTCTGATTTTTGCCATAGTTCACAGATCCTGGAGGAAAGCCCTTGGAGCTGGGGGAGGGGTGCATTGCTATTTACTTGCATGAAAGTGTGGTCTCTCCTGCCCTTCCGGGACTCTTGTTAGGGTCAGATTTCTTGATTTTGTCCCCCAGGTCATGCTGTTCAGTTTCCTTCCGTCCTTCATCTTGGATCATTTCTAGTCTAAGCACAAGCTTGCTAACTCCTCTGCTGTCTCCAATATGCTATGGTTGTTTTCATTTCAGCTACTGCACCTTTCAATTCTAGAATTTCCACTGGGTTCTTTCTTATAGTTCCCGTTTATCTACTGGGATTCCACATCTGCTCACTAATTATGATCCATTTTTCACACGTCTAGTAGATTGTTATTGTACAGTGGACATCACATTGAGCTTTGTAGAGACTGCATTCGGTTATGCTCCTCTGAAGAGGGCTGGATTTTGTTTTAGTAGGCAGTTAAGTTGGCCGGGCTTAAATTCCAAGTTCTCTCTCTCTCCGTGGGCAGAGCTGAAGTCTACACTTAGTTCCAGCCGCTGCTTTCTCAGGCCCCCTAAAATCTCTCCCATGTACATGGAGTACAGAGGTCAGCCAAGGATTCAAGTGAATTTAACATAGATTTTGGGTGTTGCCCCATTCTGTTTCTCCCTTCTTTGCGAAGTTTTTCTTCTAACTTTCCATGCCTTTTTCTCAGCCCTGACCTGTCCTTACAGCTCAAGCCAGTTCTGTATGCCGGGATAGACTGAGTAGTTTCCCTTATCAAAGAGCAAATCGCACTTCACACAGGCCAGCCTTTCAAAGGACAACGTCCAGTTTCTGCCTGCAGTGCTCATTGCTAGCTCTTTCCAATAGTTGCTTTTCATATCTTGTCCAAATTTAGTAATTGTTACCTGTGGGATTTGTAGTCCAGCCAAGCTATTCCATCATTATGCAAAACCAGACTTCTCTTGTTAGATTCAATATTAATATTTCGGGCAGTCTAGACAAATATAAAATGCTATCCTATTATTATTTTATTTTTTTAAGACAGAGTCTCACTATGTCGCCCTGGGTAGAGTGTCGTGGTGTCACAGCTCACAGCAACCTCAAACTCTTGAGCTTAAGCGATTCTCTTGCCTCAGCCTCCCAAGTAGCTGGGACTACAAATGCCTGCCATAATGTCCGGATATTTTTTTGTTGCAGTTTTTTAGCTGGACCAGGCGGCGTTCGAACCTGCCACCCTTGGTATATGTGGCTGGCACCTTAACCACTGTGCTATAGGCGCCGAGCCCCTATTGTTATTTTAATTTCCATTTTGCTGATTACTAGTGAGGTTCACTTAGTAAGAATTTCTTTCCCAATCTGGTGAGTAGAAAATGGTTTCTCACTGTTTTAATTTGCTTTTGTCTCATTATTGTAACGTTGAGTATTTTCCACGTGTTTTATTAGCCATCTGTGTCTTTGCTTTTGGGAAATGCTTTTGCTAATTCTTGTATTGAAATTTTTTTCTTATGGATATGTAGAAATTCTTCAAATACTCCAGATACTAAGTTTCTTCTCCTTGTATATTTTGCAAGTATTTTTTCTCTCGGTGAATCTTTCTTTCATTTTCTGTAGTTATGGGAAAAATCGGAGTGACAATTTTTTAATTTAATCAGATGCATCCAATTTCCCTTTATTTTGTCTGCTTTTTGAATCTTATAATAAGAAGCCCAACAGTGCTCAGAAGACTTAATGATATTCTCTTATATGTTCTTTTAGAAACTGTAAAATTTAGCTGTTGATAGAATTCCCTGGAATTTACTTTTTTCATGGTGTGAGGTGAGAAATTAGCACCTTCCACTAAATGATGGTCTCCGGCTCTCCCTGGATTTTTGCAGAGTTTCCTCCATCACGTAGCATATGCTGGGTACATGCCCGTCTGTTCCTGGGCTCTCTCAGTGGTTTTCTCGGTCCTTCTATCTGTCCAAGTGAAGAGCCTTCTGGTCTGTCTGAGTGAACAGCCTTCTGGTCTGACCAGTGCAGCCCTGAGCTCTGTGTTAACTGGCAGAGCCACTCTTCCTGCCACCCCACCTCCTCTTCTCCTTCCTCCTCTACTGTCTTGTTGGCTATTGGCCCTTTGTTGTTCATAATAATATTAAATTTAACACTGAACACTGAGCATCTCGCCATTTATATAGGAATTCTTTCTTTTCTTTTGATGAGGTTTTATACTTTTCTCTATAAAATCATGTGAATCTTTGAACTAAATTATTTTCTAGGGACTGGTATGGTAAATGGTATATTTTATTTGTCATATATATATATATATATTTTTTTTTTTTTTTTTGAGACAGGGTCTCACCCTGTTGCCCAGGCTGGAGAGCAGTGGTGTGATCACAGCTCACTATAGTCTGGAACTCCTGGGCTCAAGTCAGCCTCCTGCCTCACCCTCCCAAGGAGCTTGGACTCTAGGTATACACCACCATGCTGGGCTAATGTTTTATTATATTTTGTAGACTCAGCATCTCACAATGTTGCCCCCAGCAAGCATAAACTCTTGACCTCAAGAGAGCCTCCTGCTTGGTCTCCCAAAGTATTGAGGTATGAGCCATTGCGTCCAGCTGTGTATTGTGTATTTTAAGACAACAAAGTTTCTATTTGTTGTTGAGACTTATAAATATATTTTGCATATCTTGTTACATTTTGCTACTTTAATCTAATACTTTTTGTTTCTTCTTTTAGGGTTTCTATGTGGCTAATCACAGTATCTGGAATAATGACAACTCTGTTGCTTTCTTGCCAGTCTGACCTGTTCTTTTTTTCCTTTTCTTGTGTTAGTCTCTAGTACAGTGAAAAACAGGGAAGTGGCAGCCCTCTCATTCTCAATTTTTAGTGAAAGGCTTTTAAAATATCGCTTTTAATATCGTTTATGGTAGTTTTTTTTTTTTTTTTTTAAGAGACAGAGTTTAATTTTGTTGCCCTCGGTAGAGTGCTGTGGTATCACAGCTCTTCGTAACCTCCAGCTCCTGGGCTTAGGCGATTCTCTTGCCTCACCCTCCCAAGTAGCTGGAACTATAGGCGCCTGCCACCATGCCTGGCTATTTTTTTGTTGCAGTTTGGCTGAGGCCGGGTTCAAACCCGCCACTCTTGGCATATGGGGCTGGCGTCCTACCCACTGAGCCACAGGTGCCGCCCTATGGTAGTTTTTTGATAGGTATTATCTTTTACAATCAAGTTAAGTTTCCTTCTGTTTCTTGGTTGTTAAAGTTTTGGAATGTTAAATATTATATAAAAACTTTTCCTGAGTCTACTGCCGTGATTGTTTGTCCTTTATTCCATTCATGAGCTGTATTATGATGAAAAATTGACATTTTAAGTTCTCTATTATTTAGCTCAGAGAGTTCCCCAAATAGTAAAGAGTTTGTCCCCTCCAAACTGAGGCTGAAATTTAATTGCTCTTGTCATAGTAATAAGAGGTGGGACCTTGGAGAGGTGAGTAGGCTACCGGGCTCTGCCCTCAGGGGTGGGATTAATGCTGTAATAAAGGGCAGTTGGGCCACCTTCTGCCTCTTTGCCCCCTGGATTCTGCCACCTGAGGACTGTGTTCAAGGCCCCTTGAAATCAGAGCTGCTGAACCTGCCAATGCCTTCTGCCTCTGGAACTGGGAGCCAGTAAGGTTTTACATGTTGTGAGGTATCCAGTCATGGGAAGGTGTTACTGCAGCATCAGTGGCCTGAGAAGATGTGTTCAATGTTTCCAGTGACGTTTGAAGGTAACTTCCATTGTTTTTTTTTTTGAGACAGAGACTCACTTTGTCACCCTTAGTAGAATGCTGTGATATCATAGCTCACAGCAACCTCCAACCGTTGGGCTCAAGTGATCCTCTTGCCTCAGCCTCCAGAGTAGCTGGGACTACAGGCGCCTGCCATAACGTGCCCGTTATTTTTAGAAACAGGGTCTCGCTCTGGCTCAGGCTGGTCTCGAACCTGGGAGCTCACTCTGCCTGCCTCAGCCTCCCAGAATGCTAGGATTACAGGCATGAGCCACCGTGCCTGGTTGTGAAGGTAACTTCCAGACTGGAGTGTATTTGTTGTAGGAAACAACACTTGTAAAAAGTGTGTTACAAGCAAATTTACTTCTTTCCCTCTTGTGGTCAGCTGCACTTGTGGGGACTGTGAAGCACAATTCCTACCAAGCCACTCCCTGGTGTGGACACAGACCAGCCTCTGGAGTCTTGCAGGGCACACTGAGATTTTTCTTACATTCCTGAGGCTGTGGGTGCTGGGGCCCTGATCTCTGCAGAGGGCTGTGTTGTGACCTTCTGATTTTTGCCTGTCCCTTCGTGATCATTCAAGAGAAAGATCCCTTTCCTCCTGGGGTTCTGAATGCCCCCACTCACCAGCCTCTGTGTGCTTGTTTTAGGCCCCCGAAGACCCCCTACTTGCTCAGAGGCACAGGAGTTTTTGTTACTTTGTTGTAGTTTTCTGGTAAATTATGGGGGGGATTAGGGGCGTCTGGGGCAGCTTATTTTCAGCAGCAAATGTGCCCACTTGCGTTTCAGCTTGTTCGGTCTGGTCCCCACCCCTCTAATACCCTTGGTGCCATGCTCTCACAGACAGTGTCCTCATGGACATCACAGCGGCTGTTAGCCCTGTCTGCCCCCTTCCCTGGCAAGCACCCTCATCTCCTGGTCCTCACTCACTGCCCTACAGACCCCTAACTTTCCTCCCTCCTCCTCTGGGGAGGCAGTGTGGTGGGAAGTTAGGAGCACCCCTGGGGCCAAATTTCAGCCCACCATACACACACACCTGCGCCATGAGACATGAGGATGGTGGCTGCATCCCTGCTATGCAGAGCGAATGGAAACACTAACCAAACCCTCAGAATGGGTCCTCCTTCTAGGTGTCCAGCAAGGGGCTGTGAATACTGCCAACCCTTCCTCCGGGTGCCTTGCTGCTCCAGGTGGCTCTGGCCCAGTCTATTCTTCTGTCTATAGCCTTGAATTTAAAGCCCTTCCTTGAGCTGACAATTCCAAAACCCCTCTTCAAGCCCAGCTCATCTCAATGCTCACATGTCCAGCAGCCTAATGACTGTACCCGCAACTTGGTCCAGCACCTACTCCACCAGCACCCTAGCCTGGACCAGCCCTGCACCCCCCAAGACAGTTCTGTCCTCATTCTGACTCTTCTGCTACATTCCACATCCAGCAGCCAGAGGACATTTTTAAAGTGCAACTCAGAGCACCTCCCCCCATAGTTTAACCTTTCAGTGGCTCCTCCGTGTGCTGAGGGTAGTGTACAAGTTCTGGGTGGGGGGCACGCCCAGGACTGGCTGAGGCACACCCTCCCTCTCCCCCTGAGAGCCCCCAGCCCCTCAGTGGCACAGGCATCCCCAGCTTTCTCTCCCATAAGGACCTGGCACATTCAGCTGCCCAGAACCCTTCAGGCTCTGCTCAGATGGCACCTCCTCTGAGAAGCCTTCCCTGATCACCCAGCTGGAGCCTGCCTTGCATGTTCTATTTTTCAAACCATGCATTTTGTTTACGTTTTTCCTTGCATGCTCTGAAAGGGCAGGGGCCTGGCCATCTTGTCACTGTGGTGTCCTCTGTCCACCATAGGAAGGACTTGAGTGTGCCCTGAGGCACTGAGGGTGTGTGCATCACTCTCCTACCTTGGGGTCTGCTGCTGGTGGGGTGAGATTCAAGGACTCGGCTGCACGCTGCCAGGCAGTCCTCATACCTGCCACGGTGCAGCAGAGCTTCGGGTGACAAAGCGTCACTCCAGGTGCCCCCGGGGTCCAGGGCCTCCAGGAGTCGCCGGCTATTGCTCTCCTGCTGTCTGGCACTGTCCCCGGCCTCAGCGTGCCCTGAGAGGAAGTCCTGAAGGGTGCAGACCAGCAGCGGGAGGTAGGGCTGTTGGTGGGTGTGGATGAAGGCCACAGTCTGGTCAGGGCAGGAGACAAAGGTCTGGAGGTAGTCAGCCACGCTGTCAGCCACTTGCACCCCGGAGAGCACCCAGGCCAGGGCGCGGGTCAGGCGCAGTGCCAGGAGTTGCTGGGAGTGGGCACCCATCAGGGCATCACAGCGCTGTGCCACTTCCTCATGGTGCCCGCGGGCCAGCAGCCCCGCCAGCAGGTGCAGCACAGCAGCAGGGTGGTCTGGGCAGAGGGCCCCGAGGAAGGCAGAGGCCAGGGTCCCTGTCAGGGAGACCACCGCCATCCCATCCCAATGGATGGTGGGGATCTGGCTGTCCCCACGGCACCAGGCCTCCAGGGTGGCCACCACAGGTGCTCCCCGAGCCTCTGCCAGGGCAGCTTGCACACTCCGCACAGCTGAGGGGGCGTGGCAGCTGAATGCAGCCAGGTAGAAGGCGGTGGCCAGGGGAGGCTCCCCCAAGGCCAGGTGCTGGTCCCCCTTTCGACAGAGGCAGGCCACGAGCTCCTGGGCAGACATCACCCCTGTGGCCCCAGTGGGCCCATGTCCAGTCCTCTCAGCACCTGGGGAGGAGGAGTGTGGTTAGAACATGGGGGTGGGGTGTGTGTGGTAGCCAGTGTCCCTGCTCGGCAGCCATCGAGGCCCAGTCGTGAGTTGTCTCCTACCCACCCTCCAAGACCCCAGAGCCAGAGCGGACCCTGCTGAGTGCACACTGCAGGGTCAGCCCTGGAAAACACTGGTTTCCTTAGCCCTGGTCTGCCAGGGTTTGCCTGCGTATGCCAGGTGGGCTCCGAGCTCTCCGGGCCTCAACTCCCTCCTCTGTAGAATTGGATGGTGGCCTTGCCTTGCTCCTTCTAAGAATACCTGACCCCCAGCTTCCATGCTGGGAGAGGCTGGGTGGACTGAAGGGAGTTCCCACGGCAGCACCCCCATGCTCACCCCAGCCCCCCCAGGACATGTCACCCCAGGGAGGCAGAACCCCAGGTCAACTCAGGCAGCCTTCTCAGCCTCTGAGGGCCACACCCCTGCTCACTGCTCACACCCCAGCAAAGCATGGGTCACCAAGCTGTGGGGCTCAGCTCTGTGATTGTCCCAACACCCTCCTCAAACCTCAGCCTGGAGAACTAACTTCTCAGCTCTTTCTCCCTGGTCCCAGAGGGTAGCCCCTCACTGACATACAACACTTGCCTGTGGCTGGAGGCTGAGCCTGCTGCGTACTGGGGGAGGGAAAGGACCTGAGGACCCAAACCCCCTTTGCGTGCAGGGGACAGAGGGGTGGGTGAGCGCGGTAGCTCCACAGAGACGCTTGTTTCCCAGGAGAGCGTCAACACCCCCCCCCCACCGCGTTACCAGCTGCTCAGCGCCCTCCTGCGGCTGGACTCGCCCCAGCAGGTCCCACTCAGCCTGGCCCCAGCCCAGGCCCAGCCCTTCCCCCTGTTGTGCAGAGCATAAGCTGAGTTCATGGGTGGCTGTCCTGGTGCCTGGGCCTCTGGATGCCTGTGTGGCTGAGCTACCTCCACCCAGGGCTGACTCTGGGTCCTGCCCAGAGCTGCTGGCCTCCTCTTCCCATGGGGAGGACAGCGCTGCAGGGAGGGCAGCACCACCTGGCTGCTCAGCATGTTTGAGCTCCGTGTTTGCACCCAGATCATCACCTAGGCTACTTTGGGAGCCTTCACTCCCCACCGTGCCCTTCTTCCCTCAGCCCTAGTGCCCAGGCCCACAGGCTGCTCCCCGCACATCTAGTCCATTTGCTCTGGTCCCCCTTCTTCAACCCCAGCCCTGTCCTGAGCAGGAGGCCTGTCCGAGGTGAGGCCTGGAAGGGAGCTCTGAGGAGGAGCAGAGGACTGAGCTGCTGGCCTGGGGTGGCCCCACTGCCATTGAGGACGGGGGTAGATGGAATTCTCATGCGAGGGAGAAATCCCTGCAGAGGGGGGTCCTCCCAGGGCAGGTGGGTGCCCAGATGCCAAGGCAGCTGGCTGTGTGGCTCAGGGAGCTGGGGGAGCACTGGGAGTGGGGCAGTGTCTCACTGCGTGGCTCAGGGAGCTGGGGGTCCTGGGAGTGGGGCACAATGTCTCGCTGTGTGGCTCAGGGAGCTGGGGGAGCACCAGCTATGGCATGGGGGCCCTGGGAGTTGGGCACAGTGTCTCGCTGTGTGGCTCAGGGAGCTGGGGGCCCTGGGAGTTGGGCACAGTGTCTCGCTGTGTGGCTCAGGGAGCTGGGGGCCCTAGGAGTGGGGCACAGTGTCTCTGATGTCCTCCTTGGTGGCTGGGCTGGCCCACTGGGGAAGGCGCCATGTTCCTGGAGTGTGGGCAGAGTGGACTTGGGGCCCAGGCCTGGGGGTGCAGGGCCCTAGGGTCAGCAGGGCAGCCTGCCTGTCTAACCTCAGAATGGCTCTTTAGCGTCTTGATGTTGACAAGGGCACAGTGCCCGTGAAGTCACTGTATTAAGAGTGTTCCCATTACTTTCCTTTGGTGACTTTCATCTTAATCATCCTAATTAGGCAAGAGGCATAATGGAGCAGGTCTGTTGCCAGGGCTGCGGGAAGGGCCTGGGGCACAGAGGTGGCAGGGCTGCCTGACGATGGCAGTTGTGTTCGCCCTGATTGGTCCCCTGTGTCTCTGTCCAGGTGCATAGTGCGTGAAGACCCACAGGCAGTGGCCAGGTGAGTCCGGCAGCCTGGACGGGCTCTGAGCTGTAATCATGGCCCCCACCTAAGGGCGGCACCCCTGGGCACAAGTGCCTATGTTCTGATATCTGATTCGGCCACAGACAGAGATAAGCTGCTGGGGCCAGGTGCCTGGGGGCCCGGGGGACTCCAGGACCCAGGCCTCTGAGCAGTTAGCTCATGAGCAGGTTAAGTTACTTGAGTCCATTGTGATCAAAAGGGTCCCACCATTCCCCACTCGAGTCTCCCTGGAGGTGACTCGGACCATTTGTCCTTTGCACTGCTGTCCCATGACAATTGGGATGGGATGGGACAGACAGTGTGAGGACTTCAGGGCTCATCCAAAGCTTTGTGGGAAACGAGATTTCACCATGATGGGAGTATGAGGCTTTGACTTCCAGCCACTCACAAGTTCCCTGGAGCTACTTTTCACGCCCTGGGGCTGCTCCTGCTGCCCCCACTTGGATTCAAACCCTGTTAGGAATGGGAGGAGAAGTCCCTGCACTCTGACTCACCCCAAATGAAAGGGCTGCCCCAAAGGACATGGGGTCCCAGGGCAGGGGCCCGAGCAGCAGCCTATGAACACAGCCCAGCCACACCACTGCGTGTGGGATAAAGACTATGCCAGTTGGGATGGGACCTGAGTCCTGAGTCCCAGAATTTTCTTAGGAACAATCTTCTGCAGCAGAGAAGTTGGAAATAAAAGCAGTTTACCAAGTAGAAGGTTGGGACGGCCGTCCGTCAGCTGCTGGTACAGTGGGTGCAGATGGCACAGAGCAGAGGGTCACGTGCCCAGGAAAGGCTCCCTAAGCTCCCATCGGGTGACTGTTTTGCAAGGGATAGACTATTCTGCAAGCCCTTTGTCCTGGAGCTTCCTGAGAGGACGGGGTTAGTGAAACCTGGCACACGTTATCTTTACAAAAAAACTTGTCCTGGTGGTCAGTGGCCACCATTGCCCACCCCTACACTAAGTGCCCTGGAGAGTCAGCTCAATCCCAGTGCTGGCCTGGCAACTGGGAAGAGGGTCCTGGGCCCACCCTGCTGCTGCCAAGCCCTCTGAGGCTGCTCTTCCCCAGCCAGGTGGTCTCCGCTCCCCTGATGCCGTGGGCTATTGTCACTGCAAGCATCCAGGACAGGACCCTGTGCCACCCCAGGGGTGAGTGATTGGGCCTTGTCTCCCCTCATCATGGCACACGAGGGAGGGGAGGGACCACAAGTCCCAGCCCTGGGGCCCACCATGGGAGCCCCAGCCTTCCAGCCTCCCTGGTCTCTCCGGTGCTCACCTGGGAATGCAGATTCATTTTGGTTAAGCCAGCCCCAATTAGAAAGAGAAATCCTTAATAGACTTTACCCCAAACCCCCCAAAAGGGCCATCTAGGGTCCTCAGGGTGCCCTCCTTTCTTGCTAACCTTGGAGCAGATGCAGCCCTGGTGATTCTCTGCGCTCAGCTCCCACTCGGGCCTGCCTGAGGGTCACCTTCATCCTGGACATCCCAAAGGCTCTCTGAGGGTTCGTGAGCCCACCCAGATTCCCCCTGTTTTACCTGGGGCAGTGTCCAGGAGACCTGGAGAGAGCCAGAGGAGCAGGGAGTGGCTGGGAGTCTTGGACGTCACCAGATGAAATATCAGCCTCTTGCCCCTGCCATCAGACAGGCAGGAGTTGCAGGCAGATGGGGAAGAGCACGGTCCTGCCGCCGGAGCCTGGGCCAGGAAGGGCCTCTCCTCTCAGGCAGGGCCTTTCTCTGCCCTCTTCCCTCAGAAGCTGGGCTCCTGCTGGCAGACAGCAGGCCGGGGATGGCCACGCCTGCCAAGAGCTGTCTCCTCATGTTCCCTGGGGCTCCTGTCCCCCATCAATAATGCAGGTGGGGAGGAACTCCTAGCTCCCTATACTTGCCCACCTGCTGTTGCTCCTGGTGCGGTCCCAGCTATCGGGGTGGCTTCTGAGAACCACCCTCTGTGTTGCCCGGGCTGGTGAGGGTGGGGCTGAGGGTGGGTGCCTGTTTTGGGGGGAGCAGATTTATGCTATGGCTGTCCTGGCACCACAGAGACTGCCCTCTGGGCAGAGAGGCCTCTGCGGGGTCCCTGAACTGAGTGCTCTGATGGGCTCCAAGAAGGGTCTGCCCTGCCAGAGCTCAGAGCTCCAGGAAAGGAGCCTTCTCAGCCACTGTGGGTGGCTTCCGAGGCTGAGGCTCTGGGTGTTGCCGCCCAGGGGATTGTTTGCCCTATAGCGTTCTGCCAGCACCAGCCACACTCCGCAGCATCTTCAAGGCCTTTCCTGCACCCACACCCCCTTGGCAGGGCCCAGCTCCCCTGTCAGAGCATACCCCCAGCTGGAGCCCCTCTCATCGCCCTGCCTCTGCCAAGGCCTTGCTCTCCTCTATCGCCCATTGCTGTCCTGTCCACTCCCACCCCCATGGCCTGCCCTGCACCTCCCAGCCACTGTGGGCTGGCTTCTTGGCAGCTGGATGCTATTCTGGCAAGCACGCCCTGCCCCAGGGCCTTTGCATTGCCCTCCCCCCTGTCCCACTCTGCACTTGGCTCCTCCTCATCCCTCCAGGCCTTGGTCTGATGGTCCGCTCTGCCTCCCCACTGCTGCTTCTGCCCTGTCCCTGGCTTTCCTTCTTGGGTGTCAACCCCAGGAGGGCCGGGATGGTTGGCACCACCCAGCAGGTGCCTGGCACAGGAAGGAGGGTGCTGTGGCTATCTCTTCTGAGATCTGTGTCGCAGGGGAGTTCATGGGTCACACACATCCCCAGATCAGCACCTTGGGAGGCACTGTCTGTCCTGGTGTGGCAGAGCAGATTCCAGGGGACTGGCCCTGTTGAAATTCAGGAGTCTGAGAAGTTCCTTGCCCC